TAAATAAATCATGAAAACAAAAAGAAATAAATGCAAACTAATATTAAGTTCACTAATTTCTTGGTCCGCTTGACCAATTAATATGTTACAATTAATTAAGGTTTTTAGTTGAGATAAAAAAGGCAATGGCACGAGCCGGATTCGAACCCACGATCTTCGGCTACATATGCTGCTGCTCTACCACTTGAGCTATCGTCACCTAGAATTAGTCAAGCGGACCACGAAATTAGTGAATTTAATGAATTAAAATGAAGTACACTTCACTAAAGCTCTCCGTGGCCATTTCATTTGTCGCCGAGAATCCAATCCGAACGACATTTGAAAAATGGCAAAAAGGAGGGAAAATTCAAAAAGTGTTGTAATGTCGTATATATTTCCCTTGTAGGTATTTCGATTAATATCAATTAAAAACATGTTCAGTGGTCATTTCAACCCTGAGCGCATGCGAAATATGCATTCAAACAATAAATACATTCACACCTATATACACAATTAATCACAATTAATTTAGGTTTTTAGTTGAGATAAAAAAGTCAATGGCACGAGCGGGATTCGAACCCCACGATATTCGGCTAGATACGCCGCTGCTCTACCGCTTGAGCTATCGTGACCTTGATCCACTCGGACACCAACTTCCCATCTCAAGCCCACCTTTTGAATTTTTCCTCCTTTTTGCCATAATTCATAAGGTGGGGTTGAGATAGGAAGTTGATGTCCGAGTGGATCGAGGTCACGATAGCTCAGGTGGTAGAGCAGCGGCGTATCAAGCCGAAGATCGTGAGTTCGAATCCCGCTTGTGCCATTGACTTTTTTTCATCTCAACTAAAAAAAAAAATTCTCGGCGACAAATGAAATGGCCACGGAGAGCTTTAGTGAAGTATACTTCATTTTAATTAATTAAATTCACTAATTTCGTGGTCCGCTTGACCAATTAATATATTACAATTAATTAAGGTTTTTAATTGAGATAAAAAAGTCAATGGCACGAGGTTGAGGTCACGATAGCTCAAGTGGTAGAGCAGCGGCGTATCAAGCCGAAGATCGTGGGGTTCGTATTCCGCTCGTGCCATTGACTTTTTTATATCAACTAAAAACCTTAATTAATTGTAATAAACTAATATTAAGAGATAAACATGTTTCAAAAATAAATGTTTAGCAAAAACATTTCTATTTGATGTTTTTTTAATGTTCTTAAATATTGTTTTATTCTTTAGAGGAAATTGTTTTATTAATAAATCTGAAAAAATATTTATAAACATTATTGTTAAATATGTGGCATTATTGTTTAGTACAGGGAGTCTTGTAAATTGTATTTTAATTGATTCCGTAAAAGTAGTTCAAAATGTAGCACATATTCAGATTCGGCCTAAATGGCTCATTTTGGTTGAAATCCATTATTTAAAAATAATTATGCGAGTGTTTTGCTATTTGGAAGTATTTTGGAACCTACCATTGAAAAATGGCAAAAAGAGTTAAAATGCGAAACGTTGTACGTTGAGATGGGGAGTTGGTGCCCGAGTCGCTCAATTGGTAGAGCAGCGGTGTATCTAGCCGAAGGTCGTGGGTTCGAATCCCGCTCGTGACTCTAGCTTTTTCCTCTCAACCAAGACCATTCATAAAAAGAATAATTAATTGAAATCTGTATCTGTTGATAACTACATAATAGTCTATCAGATTTATAGTCACAGGTCACATTCTCTCTGATTAAAAGCTATGTAAATAATAGAACGGTAAGTATTGAGTTCTGTGGTGGGCTCTCACTTTTGGAACCTTTGACACCCTGTTAAATAGACTGGAAATCTTTAATCTTTAACCTTAAATCGTAAGGTATACGACCTGGTTGCTACTGTCACAGGAGAAACAATAAAAGATAGAACCAAATAATGCAATAGTAATATAAAAAATTACAGAATAGGAAAGAAAGAAAAAAAAAACTATTGGCCAACAAAAGAAAAACTCTACTCCTAAAAAAATTCCATGAAGGAAAATTGAGAAAAAATAACAAATACGAACCAAACCCTGATCCGGGTACGTCCTAGCTTAACTAACCCAACATATCTTACCTCCCTCAGAAAAAAGACTATACAGTAAACTGTTGTTAACCGCGCTTTCACTCTTCCGGGATTGCAACATAAATCATGCATAGAGGTGGCTAAACAATAAAAAGGAGTCATCCACCTGTAAAATACTTGAAAACAGTGCAAATATTCTTTCTTGTGATTCAACAATGACTCAGACTTCGAAATCGGTTACAAAAGTTTGGGCTCGTGTTGTGATTAGAATATAGATGCTTAACTATGGTGCATGTCCGTATATACAGCTATCCTGTGTGGAATAAACTTTGTATGTTATATTGTATTTTTCTTACTGAGAAAACCTGAAATATATATAAGTTCATACATAACATTGATGTTCATATATAATGCGACATAAAAAAATATTTCATTGGTACCCGGATGGAGGAAAATTCTCTCCATATCTGCGGTGATATTTCATGTGTATCGCTTACGGACAGTAAGAGAGTTCCGTATGTGTTTTCCTCAGTATGAAACAATTATCTGGAGGAAGATGGGGTAAAGACGTAACAGCACTTTATAACATATAACAGGACTGTATAATTATAAAAGGGTGTTCCTTTCTTTGGTCATACGGTGGGACAGACTAGGTACTAAAGGCCAAAAGCTTCTATCGCAGGCCCAAAGTTAGGATTTAAATTAAAAATATACGTTATTGGGAGAGTTCTCACTCTTTACTTACTCTTCCTGTACAATTTTCGTCTTATAGGTCTATTAACATTTTATGTATTTTAAATAAAGTCCTAGATTCAATACGCCTTATTAATCAGGAAGTGGAAGAGGGTGTAGTACTTAAACTGCGTTAATCGTGACAGACAATATTAAAATGAATATAGATAAACAGTAATGTTACAATCATGACGTGAGTAGATTTTAATCATCCTTTTAATAGTAAAAGTCATCAATTATTTTGTAACCATTGTAAAATAAATAAATTCCCAGATAAAGTAGTAAATTGGTACGAGTCTTCCTTAAGTAGTAGATAATAACAATTAATAACTAATAACTGTAAATTTTCAAATGGGGAAACTATAAATCTTAGTTATAAATATCTAGTTATAAATAAAACTAGTCTTTCAAGACTTTACAGAGCATTCTTATTTTCTGTTTATACAAATAATATAACAATTGTATTCTTACAGCGTAATTTATAGTTTATGTGCAGATGATTTACATAAAAAGCAGTTAAAATAGGTAACATTAACGATGAAATTAGAAAAGTTAACGAAGAACATTAATAAATAAACCAGCTAACTTTAAAACAACAAAAATGTAAAGTAATTATTTTTGTATGTAGTAAATTACTGAAAAATTAAGACAAGCTAAAATAAGGTTAATATCAACAATAATAACCTAAATTATGAAAAAATTTTAAAATGTATTGGATTAAAGTTTCTGAACAACCTCACCTGGGAACTTCTTGTATTGAAAACTTATTATTTTATTTTAGCTAAGTTCTAAGCTAAAACATCACACAAAACTGTACAAAGTAGAAAATAACTTCATTTTATTGTAAATATGTAATTTACATAAGATCCTGGTGATCAAATGTTGCTTGATCCATAAATAAATCTATCCTTTTTAAAAAAAGATAGTTCTTACTCACAGTAAGTTGTTTTCCAACAATCCGGATTTCAAGCCCTTAGCTCATCATCAGGTTGAAGAATTTCTACAACCATGTCTCTCGAAATGAATTGCAAAAGTAAACCCGCACCCGCCGATACCCCCTCCTACGCGGCGTTCCAATGAGAAGCTGGTTTTTTAATGGCTCTCAATTTGAACGTGCGAAAAGCGGGAATTATAACACAAGTAAATATTATAATGGTAAATACTGTAAGAAATTAATTATAAATTAGTGATTAAAGATAAAAGATAAAAAATTAAAATAATACCTTAATTTTTGTTTACCTTAATGTTTTTAAGTGAAAATTTATATTACGGTGTAGAGAATTAATTAGTTGGAGGAATTATTTGAGATGCTCTAATGTTCCCGACCATATGCATAAAATATCGTCTACATAGCGTCTACAATTCCTCCAACTAATTAATTCTCTACATCGTAATATAAATTTTCACTTAAAAACATCCTCTCAAAACCTAAAGACAAGGTAGACAACCTGGCAAAAAGCGGGGTTTACCAACTCAATTGTAATGATTGCGATATTAAATATATAGGACAGAAATAAAAACGAGAGTAAAAGAACACTTGCCTAAATCGAAGAAATTTTCGGAATTTAAGGACCATCTATAAGAAACAAAACCTAATTTCGATTCAAATTTAAATACATCAGTGTTACATAGTTTCAACAAAGGGAGAGAACTAAATTGGTTTGAGAAATTTGAAATTAAAAAATGTAAAATTGAACATGGTGATAAATGCATTAATAATATAACAGATTTTGATCTACCTCCCATTTTAAATATGTACATAAATAATATCAAACATCCAAATAATTAATCTAATTATTTTAATTGTTATTATTTTTATAGTAATTTATAGTAATATTAAGTATTTATTATTCTAATATTTATTTGTGTTATAATTTCCGCGTTTCGCACGTTCAAATTGAGCGTCATTAAAAAAATCAGCTGATAATTGGAACGTTGCGTTGGCGGAGGTATCAGCGGTTCACTTTGCCAATTCATGTCGAGAGACATGGTTGTAGAAATCCTTCAACCTGATGATGTTCTAAGGGCTCGAAATCCGGATCGTTGGAAAACAACTTACTGTGAGTGGGATCTATCTTTTTTTTTAAAGGATTGAACACCGCACTCACTCCATCATTCATAATTTCTGTAAATAAATCGTTCATTCATTTTCTCACTCAATCGATTTCTACATACATAGATACAATAATTTCACTTTTATAATAATAGTATTTACGTTGACAGTTTATTTTTCTATGCGTTGTTTTTTGTTTTCAGATCCAAATATTCGGATTCAATTCGCAACTGTATTCGAATTTTTCTGAAGCGGTCCACAAAGCGCAGGGGATCGTCGCCATATCCGTACTCCTCCAGGTAAGAGACAAAGTGAAAATTTCGTCAACTGAAAAATCCGGTTCGGAAAAGTGGATACAATAGGCCGGAGGTAAATAACTGAGAGAAACGGATAAGTGGGTAAAAAAATTTCGACAGGGCTGTGACTCGCCGTCGGCGTTGGCGTGGTGCAGAAGGGGAAGAAGATGAGATTCAATTGAGAATAAGAAGAAAATGTAGACATACTTCGCCCCGGCAAGGTTTTATTAAGTAGAAGAATGGTGGAAATCATATAGTCATTACCTTACACGGATCCCGCCTGTACGGAGAGGGAAATTGTCCTCTAAGCCGGCTTTTATTGAGATGGCAACGTTGTTTCCAGTTCCATCCCCCTTGTTTTATTTCTTCCAGGAATTCCGTAAATAAGACATACCACCCCGTTATTCAGGGTTTACACAAGTCTTATTTTGCAATGTTTTTATTTATATTATTATAACTATTAGCAATTCAAACGTTCCGTAACGTAGAATGAAAGTTTAGTTCTATTTGGTTTTTCAATAGTATTCAACTGCTCATTGGAAAAGCATTGTATAATAAAGTCTGTCTTTAAAACAAATGATTTATTTGCAAGCAAATTTAAATTAACCGAGTTGTATAACGTTGGGGGATTAATGCTTTTAAATAATCAAAAATTGTTAATAGTCGTTCAAAAAGAAAAACAACTTCTTATNATACTTATTACCAAAGAAAAAAGAAAATGTCTTATAACCAAAATTTAGTTTGAATATTTAAATCTAAAGTTTCGTTGTTTTACTGGAGGCTAGACAACGAACAACAACACAAACTGTTTTGAGTCTTTAAACAGTCACACAACTTTTTTTGTTTTTTCTAACACAAAATGAGACTGACGAGTACTTCCGATCAAGCGTGGCTCCGTTCTCCGCTTAGGTTTCCGCCGTCTTCTTCTGCCTCCTCAATCGTCGGAACTCACTGCCTTCTTTATACTGTGGATGCAGCTTTGGCGCCCATTACGAAATGTTTGCCATAATTGTTAATTTTTATTATCTAAAAAAGTATAGGTATTTTTACTAATTTCTGTTGTAAAAATTTACCTGCTGATTTTTAATTTCACCCTCTGCTAGGTCCCAGGATGTGAAGTTCTAGGAGAAATCGTTTCAAACAATGCACATCCTACGTGATTTTTATAACCAGACCACTAATTTCTCTGCACCATTATTTAACAAGAATGTTCTTCACTTTTTAAATGCTTAATCAACACAATGCTTTTTGTTTTATTGTCAAACATAAAAAAATAAATAATGAAAATAAGGCAGATTTCTTTGCCTACGCCATGGCTGAAATCCCATCATAATTCTACAAGAAATGTATTTCTTCTAGTGTCTTTAATGGAAAACAAAAAATTTTGAAGGCCTTCTAGTCCATTTATCGTATCGTGAATAAAGTTAAAAAGTTATTGTGTAATCTGGGAAAGTGGTGCGCTTAATAATGATAATGCCAGACCAAAGTTTCAAACTAAGTAGGCGAAAATTTGTCGACTTTCAACTGCAATAAAGAGATTTTACTACAATAGATCTAATTCCTAATAAACATGGTTTTTCATGAGATGTTTTTAAATGAAAAAAAATTTAATACTCGAAGTCTAACTTAGACTTAAGTTAATTTCATATTTACCCTTAGTACCATAGTTACATAGTTAAGTTAAGTTGGTAACAAGTGGCGATATAAGAGAAAGGCATGAGTAAAGCAAGCAATACGGCAACTTAAACATTATGACAGTAATAGTTTTATAAGTTATAAACTTTTGCTAACAAAGAAGTATTCATCTTTTAACTTTGTTCACTTAAGAAGGAACGTTTAGAATTTTATCTTCACCTGAACTTGAAATTTCAACAACATATATATATATAAATCCCTATTGTGGAGAAAACTTTACAATGTAGCGGGGCATCCATCTTATCGTTCCTTTTTTGTGGCTAAATTGTCAGCCAGCTTTCTTTATGAAAGTAATAGAAATATTTTATACTAGGTATATTTGGCGATTGTACAGATAATTTTATTTGGGCTTGTTTTGTTTAATACAATTTTCTTATTATGAAATTCAAACCATGGATAATACTGTCCTAGATGAAAAGAAGAAATACACTGATGGACAAAATATAACGCACCACCCTTAAATTTTAATGTATTTACGTTTATTTACATTTTACGTAACAAAATAAAGTTTGGTTGTAAAAATAAGACATTTTAAAAGAAAATGTGTATTACCACATACCTAAAAAATAAAATAATTTAGTAAAGACCAAAAAATACATATAAATTTTAAAACAAATAAAAATGTAATATAAAACTTCTTGTTCCCTTTCATACCGAGTATTTCCGCCTCTGTAGTGAACCATGTCCGTTAAACGCCTTTCCATTCCTTTGAAAAGATTTCTGATAAAATTCTGAGGGCTTCTTTCCTATTTATCAAGAACAACCATTTCCAACTTTTCTAGGGTGTTAGGAAAATAAGGACCTGGGCTTCACCGCCGTACCCGTCGCGTAAGGTGGTACCAAATATGCTCGATTGGGTTCAAATCCGGATTTCGAGCTGGCCACACTATGCACTCAATTCAAACCTCATTCTTGTACTCATCCACAATACGTGCTTTATGAGGCCTGGCATTACCCTGCATTAGCAAGAATCTCTCACCAGATTAGTTAGTACAAAAGTAAAAAAAACATATTTTTTGTCTACGATACGTCCTAATGTATAATGTAGTCCTGTACATAATGTAGAAAAATAATGAATTCAAATTTAAACGAAATAAATTGGGTGGTATGTTAAACTCGTCCATCAGTGTATTTCGTCTAAATATTTACTAAAATAATAATGCTCAATTTTTTCTATTGCCTAGTTTTAGCAGAAACTAAATACTTTAAGATATAATAGTCCTGTCAAAATTTTGCCTAGTTGTATCTTCGTTTGGCTTCTCGCCTTCTTCGCTACGAATGCAATATCACCTAGATGTACCTGGTTGGCATAAAAGATATTTCTGTTTAGCGAATCTCTTACATAATTTTGTGAAACGTGGAGGTGTGTCAGCGTTACCTCTGTCCGTGTTTTGTCGGATAGCCTGTTTTGTAAATCTTAATCTGTTCAATTTGTACTTATATTCAAACACGTATATACACATACATACACGTACATGTATGTAAATATAATTCCAACATAATGTGCAGATATGATCATACAAATGCATTACATATAATATATAAAACATATACACAACATATACATATACTTACATAATTTTAATTTTATTGTTTTATTTGTTCGGTTTATTATATTTAATATTTTATATTAGTATATTGACTTTAAATGCATTGATTCATTTTACCTCGCTTAAACAGTGATTTTACAGGTTTTGAAAAATTAATCTATAGCCTTGACTGCTCAATGGTTATTTTCCTTTTTTCCCTGTTGCTCGTTTATTTTGTGTATTCATGATTTTTCCTAGTTTGGTTGTTTTTCGTTTCATTGCTTTGTTTTCTGACGTTGTTTGTATCTGCATTTTATTTCTCGTCCGGTCTGCTCAGTGTATTTTTTTTTCAACATTCACTTCTTATTTTGTACACTATTTTCTACTAGTTGGTTAATCTGTGATTTTCCAGTTTACTGATAACATACAGATGTCACAATTTTAGGTAATTGGGTCTTTCAGTCAATTAGTTCTGTCTTTTCTTGCTAGTTCTGTCTGCCAAACGTTTTTCGGCTTCTCTTTCTCTTCATCCCTAGGTCTGTGTGATTTCTATTTTGTCGAGTTTTATATTCATAAGTTCAGCTTTTGGGGTAAGTTAGAGTTAAGCTTGTAATTTGGCGTCTTTGAAAATTAATGTTAATTAAGTTTTTGGTTTTTATTTTTCCGTCTGGTTCTTATGATCTAAGTAATATATCAAATTTTTGTTCGTTTTGGTTTAAGGGGAGTCACTTTTTGACTTTTCATCCGTAAATTATCTTGTTTCTGTTTTTTATACTGTCTGTACAATAATTTTTTTCGCCGTTTTCACATTATTGTCATTTTTGTATAGGGCCATTTTTTTTTTTTTTTGATGTTTTGTCTTAGAATTTTTCCAATTGTATTTACTATATTATATAAAGTTTTTCTTCTAATGTTATTTTGTCGTTAGTTATAAGTTTCCTTCTTCTCTACATGGATTTTTTTGTCTATTTTCTGGCTGTTTTGGTTTGTATTTTATTATTTGTTGATTTGTCCTCATGTATTTTAATTATACATGATGTGAGAATGGTTTTAGGCGTCTCGAGTGACCAGTTGTTCTTGGTTTTCTGTATCTGCTGAACTGAAATGTGTTTTGTTCATGTTGTTGATAGTAAGCGACCCAAATTCAAGTTTAGCTATTTATTTTAGGCACAAAATGTTTTAATTTTCTCGACCATAACGTATTCAATTTAAGACTTTCTTGTAATACAATTTTCGTCTTATTATTAGTATTATTCGAAAAATCCAATACAAAATCTTAAAACGGATGATAGAAATAGGTCTGCAATATTAATATCTTGATAATTTGTTTTCTCATATCATTTATCATTTATTCTGTAGGTAGCAATACCCATTTTACAGAATATTATCTTTTTCTGACGAGTCCAATAGGGGTAGCAAATCGTGCTTGGCATCGGGGCATATAGCAGTGATTCTGTAATCCGCAAAGCCCGGGTTTTCCGATGCCGCAGACAAAGCAAGGGCGGCATATGATGAGTTGAGAGATGGGGAAGGAAGCCCTCGAGCATTTGTCGTCATATCGGAAGGGGATCAGATTATGGGAGATGGAATCACCCTCACCTCCACCCTCTAATTCGGTTTAATGGGGTCAGTGCTGCTACCTTGTCAACCCCCGTCAATCCAGAACGTTCATTTCCTTCTCGACATCCCGAAACCACTCCGGGCCCACATCGTTAAGGAAATATCGATTAAAATAGAGAAAATAATTAAAAATCTCATTTTACAATTTTTTTAATTTCAGATTCTTTTCCGACCCTTTCATCAGGACGACTGTATTCTTCAATATCACACTTCTTCAGTCGGGCGAGAACAATGGAATTTCTTACTAACTGAGGTTTATGTCAATACAGGATTTACGATTTCTCTAAATCGATGTCAATCCTCCAATCCTCTTCTGATATCCTTCAAATGTCTTTTGGGCTTGATCCATTTCGTCCTCACGGAGTGTCTAAAATAATAATCAGATAAAAAGTGTTATCATTTTTTCAAATATTCTAAAAGCAAATGAACATATCAATGTAAAAATTAAATCATCATGTATTACTGAATAGCACGTTTGCGTAGGCATTTTAATAAAGGTAAATTCTTGTGAATTGATAAATACATAATAGTCACCACATCCCTAAAAGAGACCGGGAATCATTATCAACATCCTTTAACACCATCTCTTAAAAAAATTCACAAACATTATAAGTATAAAAAGAGTTTCCTCAAACCGATTAAACAGTAAAACGTGAAAGAAAAATACGAAATAAAGCAAAGTATCTCGCAACTTAGATGCAAAACGACATTAATCTAAACACAAGATAAAAAAATTATTCCCATAATAAAATAGACGTCTGAGACAAAAAATATGTGGTTAAGCATACAGAATGTTCGTAATGGAGTAATTACAGATTCATATCATTCACATCCTAAACGGACATTTCCCAAAATTATGCGCCATGGCGGCAATCTTTGATTGTTGGCCTGCGTGTTATGTGTTAATCACGTTATGAGATTTATAAACCCTCAGTGTATTCAGTATTACACGAATTATCTAGATATTGGTATGGTTTTGATAGAAAAAACAAGTTCAATTATAACTGCCAAGCTTTTGACCTATTTTATGGTCATCACCAGAACAAAACAATGTTAAATATGTCTACAAATTGACATAATTAAGTTTTTAATAGATAGTTTTTAAATATAATGTTCGGACAGAGATGGACCTCCAAGAAATTTGAAACCGTCTATTATATCAAATTGTATACATATTTAAGAATGTATGGTGATTAGTGACCGTTAATCGATAATTATTCAGAAATCGTGAGATGCGGTCTGGTGTGATTTAGGTTTCAGAAAAACATTTTCTTTATAGTGCCAACGTTTCGATCTCTATTGAGATCATCTTCACGTCATCTTCATCGTTCTGTCACGACACGCAACAATGGCACAATTACGCAGAAGACAAACACTTTGAGCCCTGAAGATGATCTCAATAAAGATCGAAACATTGGCACGATAAAGAAAATATTTTTCTGAAACCTAAATCACACCAGACCGCATCGCACGATTTCTGAATAATTATATTTAAGAATGTTTGGCCCTGATGAGACATTAAAATATGTCGAAAGCTTGACAATAACAATTGAGTCTGTTTTTTCCCATCAAGACCATATCGAGATTCAGATTATTATGTGAGTAAATAAGTGGTCGATTTATCCAATACTTTAAACAGACACTTCGTAATGTATTCAGCGAAGTGTAAACTGCTCTAGTGGTTTGCCTAGGTTGATTTTATTTAGTACAATGCGTAATTAAAGTCTGGAATTTTTGGTTTGTGTAGATGGATTGAAGCACATGTATAAGTATTTTTGCTTCTAAAATCAAGTTTTTTATGTTCAAATGAAAACTGTTGTTTGGGTGTTGTTTTAAAATTGTTTAAAATTATAATGATAAAAAATTGGCACGTCAATCTGGGACAAGCTGATCCCAAAACATTTGTTTTTCACCGAAAAAAACTTTGGGGAAAATCAAAAAAATTTTTTTTTTAGATTTCCTTCACCATTTTTTTTTATAATAAAGGACTGAACAGAAATTTTATTTACACATCTATATTGTACAGAGAATAACATGAGGAGCATAAGTTCTCTCTGGCTGCACGCCTCTAGCTGGTTGAGTTACAATAAAATTATTACTACATCTCATAGTTCAAAGACAAATAAAAACGTTTAGAATTACTATATGATAATGTTAATAAATAAGTTCTATAAGTTTAATTAAGTCTATAAATTAGAACCGGAGATATAAAGTAAAACGTTTAAAGGGTTTTTGTTAATTCCAACCTTATTTTTCACACTTACAATGACAAAATTTAAACGTTATTGACATATTGTTAGTCAACAAGAAAAAATTTTTTTTCCAACCATTGTAAAATCGTTGAATCTGGTTTGAATCCAGGATGGTACATACATAAATAACAATTTTATTGTTTATAATTTATTAATTTAGATATGTTTTCTAAATAGTTTAATACAATTGGTTTCGGGCATTAGTGGCACCTTTCTCATTAGTCTGCATTCAATTCAGAAGCATATAGAGGTCTTTTATCATTTTCGACCAATTTAAAATCCGTTCGGACCATTGTTTTCAGTATAAAATTTCCTTTAAAATGATATGTCAGAATATAAAGGGTTGTATTTGAAATTTTGAAGTTGAACTGGGCCTGAGGTACCCTGTATAATTATTCTCCAAAAAAAGAAAAAATTGGAAGCTAGACTAAAAAATATTAAACACTATTTTTTTTGTAGCGTCCAACGTGGAAACCCAGCAGCATTTTGAACTACCTAGAGTTAACAAAATTAGATTTACATATATTTCCTCAAATGGGAGCTCCGTAAGTTATGAATGGACGTATGTACTACTATGTGAACGATTGTTAAAGACCGGGTAATGGGTCCTTAAGTTGGTGCATGCTTTTGAACATTTTTTTTTCTTAGCCCATGATATTGGTGGGTTATTTATTTTTAGATGATTGACAATTGAAGTTTACTACGAGTAAACAGTATTGTCTCAGTCTTGCTATAATTAGGTCTGATTCTCCATTTTTGAAAATATTTAAATCACCTATTTACAGTCCTTTAATTTCGAGCTTTAGTTCATTCTCATCAAGGTGATGAGTTAAAAGCTCGAAATCCGGGTCGTTGAAAACAACTTACTACGAGTTGGAACTATCTTTTTTAAAAAGATTGAACACCGCACTCAGTCCACCATTCATCATTCCTATCTACAGGTACTGATGATTTTCTGCAAGTAGAATCAACGCTATATAAGCTTTTATTCTTCTTAAGGGTGACCCTATGCCATCAAATTGTAGAAAGAATTCCTTATCGGTTAGATAATTATTAAGTAAATGTGTTAGGTGTTTAGGAAATTGAGATGACATGAGTTTACATATGAGACCATCATAAAAACATAAATGGTTATGAAGACAAAAAAAAGTCAGCCTAAAAATGACTATTCTTTTATTGTTATGAAATGCGTATTTAACGGGTAATCGTATTAGACGGTACATGAAAGAAATTTAAATTGTTTAAACAATTTCTTTTACCTAATTTATTGGACGTGTTTTGGATCTGCCCTTGTGATGATTCTGCTTATTAATTTATTATGAAACATTTTTTTTAAAAGCGACTGATATATAAACAAGCTGAAGTACAATACAAGGATTCTCAGCTCCTTAGGCCTGTTGGGAATTAGTCTAATAAACACATCTGATATTTTCCACTATCTATTAATTTTATTTTTTCTTTAAAAATTAATTTTAATTTAAACCGGCGATTTCACGTCCGTAGCCTCCACTTTATAAACTAAGGCTTCAGTATAAAAATTTTCTATTGGAATAACCAAGTCGCGATTTGAACGAAACAAGAAAATTATTCGGACATGCAGAACAAAGAAACCATGCGATTTTTTGTGTGTATGGAACACATCAACGACAAACAACAGAAAACGCGTTGACTAAAAAAGTCATTCTATTAAAATGGTAATTTTTTTAATAAATAAAAATTATTTAATATACTTTTTAGAAAATAAGACAATTACCATTAAAATAATCAGCATCTTGACGATCAACACTAACAAAATTGCCGGGCATTCTCGTTTTTCTTTTATAATTGCTCACACTCTCATTTTTCTTCCATTGCATTGAATGATTCAAGGATTGAAATATTATTGTAAAAGGTAATGACGTACTCATGGAAATTCTTATACCATGTGGTAGAAGATCGTTCATAACATCATGATATCCGTTGTAAGTCCGCACTAAAAATCCAAATTTCTATAACAATTGAAATTCAACTTTAAATCCGCAAAAACTTACGAGGGCGATGAGTTCACCGAGGTACTATCCGTTCCAGTAGCACCACTAACTTTACTGAAACTTGAATTCCCTATGTGTTAATATTTAGTAATAAAAGACACCAAGTAATTTTTTAGGTTTAGTAAAATAGAAGAAAGTCGAGAAAAAAGCTCAAAAGAACGTAATGTTTCCCATATTTTTAATTTCAAATTGTTTATGAAGTAATAGTTCTCCTTAAAATAAACACTTAAGGTAAATTTGTAAATTGCTTTACATATTTACATGTCTAAAATTTAATTCTGTAAATTTCAACTACCTGGGTTTATTCAGACAAATCTCGTCACTGCCCACCTGAAAAATTATTTATAGTTTAAAAAAATATTTAGAATGTTTATTATTTTGTTAAAACATACACTGCACTGAGACCAATTTTGATTACGTTCCTAGAAACAGAAAATAAAAGGATTACACTAATTTTTCTCAGTTTATAAGCTATCAACGAACCACCACAATAGCGTAAGGATTTCCCTGCTTCTGCTTGGTCCGCTGAAACAAACCGTACATGATCATGCTGCTGACATCACATTACTTTTTAAAGGTACATACGCTATCAGTTTTCTTAGGGGCATGGCGATCATGGCCCTTCTTCTCCTCTACCTGTAAATGAAAATTTCAGCAGGGCGTTCACGACTTCCTTGAGATTTTTGTCCATTATTACCTTTTTTGGAGGGGCGCCCTTCTGCAAAAATATAAACAATATTATTTCGGACATCTAGGCAATGAATTACTTACTAAGAGAGTAATTACTTACTTCTAAACTGCATGCTCTCGACTGACGTTTCTTCAACAAAAAATAAAAGTTTTTAAATTAAAACTATAATTAATAATTTTTTAAAATTGTTATTCAGAAATCGTGAGATGCAGGTTTCAGAAAAACATTTTCTTTATCGTGCCAACGTTTCGATCTTTATTGAGATCATCTTCAGGGCCTGGGATTTACAATTGTTTAAATTTAACAAATATAAGTAGGATGTGGAAAAAGTGAATTTATACAATGCAGAAACAAATTTTTGATATTCAATCAAATTATTTCTACTCACTCAATGTGTTTGTTTTCTGTGTAGATGTATGTAGATTCTTGTGTATCGTGTTGAGAGTGCCAATGAGATATTGCTGTTTTATGTTTATAAACGTTGGATTTTGAAGGAGTGGTTCCACCATTTTGAACAAAAACATAATTTCGACTTCAACAATCCAAAAATATTACACTCAGAACAAAACAAACAACTTGTTCACGACACGCAAGAAAGGCACAATTACGCAGAAAACAAACACTTTGAGTGAGTAGAAATATTATGATTGAATATAATTTTTTATTTTTGCATTGTATAAATTCATTTTTTCTACATCCTACATGTATTTGTTAAATTTACCCAATGTTTGTAAATCACTGGCCCTGACGATGATCTCAATAAACATCGAAGGTTAGCACAATAAAGAAAATGTTTTTCTGAAATCTACACGGAAAACAAACACTTTGAGCCCTGAAGAAGATTTCAATAAAGATCGAAAGGTTGGCACGATAAAGAAAATGTTTTTCTAAAACCTATGTCACACCAGACCGCATCTCTGATTTCTGAATAATCATGGAGTAACGGTCACTAATGATCACAAATTTTTAAATTGTATTAGAATTATGACACAAGAATATTTTCCGTAGGAAAAGTAATAAAAATGTTACTTGCAGGCGGAATGGTTGCAAACTATTATATTTTCTTACATCACCTAGAATTTGGTTACTTTTGCTTTTTTAGACAGATGCTCCGTATAGGTAATACTTATCAGGTTGCGGTCATACCAAGATCACACGGACACATTTTAATAAGGATAAGACCACATTGTTGCCTGTTATGTGGAAAACTAATAATGGTAGAACATATAACAACAGATTGGAAAGAACTAAGTCTTCAAAGAAAGAAATACATCCCAAATGACCCGCACGCCAGAAGGTACACATTTGCTGATTTTGATGGCTGATCTCAGTGCCATAGGTATTATGAATCATATACAAATTTTGTACCTTCGTGTATGGAATAATTTATTGGAACGGATATGTTTATTTGCGTGAACGTAAGGGCTACCCTCACTTACCCTCAGCAATATCTGGGGTAGTGAAAATGATTTGTAGTGTGTATGGAATTTATTAGCGAGAATGGGAGGATTAGGTAATTACCCCGAGGAATATCGAAAACCCTGGAGTAGTCCGAATGAATGTGTGAATGTAATTTAATAGCGTAAAAGAAGGGGTTTATCCCCAATTACCCCGAGGAATATAGAGTAATCTAGGGTAATGGTAACAAATTCTGGTGTTGGAATGTAATTTATTAGCGCGAATGGAGGGCCATAACCTAACTACTCCGAGGAATATCGAGTACTCTGAGTTAGTATGAAGCCAACCAGAACATCCTCTTTCTGTGTTTCTCTATATTTGTTATTTGTGTTGTTTTAGCCACCCTGAGTTACCGAGAAGCTAGCATAAATAAAGAAAAGAAAGAGTTGGTTACCGTTATATCAATGGCCGGAGAATCATCAAAAGAAATCAGTAGGTTTAAAACGCCACAAACATAAGTAAAGAAATGAAAAGTTAAGTAAGGAACAGCTGGCGATGATCAATGTAGTTTTAATCTAAATCCAGTCTAATTTTTTTTAAATCTACGTACAAAATAATGAACAATCAGCAGCGATCATACACATTTTCAGGTCATCGATTTTAACAGAAAGACCATGAAGAAAATAGCAAATGTCTTGACTTTTTTTAATTTTAGTCAATAGTTAGCGAAATTTTCAAGAGTGTAAAAATTGATTATATCTCAGTATTCCGAAATAAATTGTTAAAAGTGACAATCCCTGAATTTATTTCACGAACTAAGTCGTGGTTTTTCAAATATCTGAACCGACCATTTTACCGAACTACTTTTGCCTTCTGAAGGAATATTTAAAAATTTAATCATTAAAAACTTAAAATCGGCGATGTATGCAGATGTGACTTGAAATTCATTATCTGTGGACCTGTGTTAAGATCCAAGTTTATCACCAGATCATGAAGATTACAATATCAATAATTTATGAAATGTTACTTAACACATACGTCCAAATTTTGCTGTATTATAAAAAAACTGGAGAAAAACTATTGCTTACCATGTTAGAGTTAATGAAATATCCAGTAATTTTCAGTTTTATTTTCTCTAATGTGTTTTCAGTCATAAAGAACTGACCTATTTTAAAGATATTTAACTTTCAAATAAGCCAATGAGTAACGGCACCGGAGAATTTAACGTATTCGAAAGAGAGAGGTATATATAGATTATGAACAGTATGATTTGAATATTCATAATCATTTTTAGACATAAATTCATCTTTATGATTTACCGAATTTTCAGGATGTGACAATGGTGCCAAAGAAATCATTTTGCAAAATTACATATTTCACTGAGTCGGAAATTAAAAAGGTAATATCCTAAATGAATGAAAATCTTCAATTAATAATTAATGTATACATAAATGCTTAAAGAATGATGACAAAACAATGTGCAGCATTTATTTAAATTTAAAGAAATAATTAGCTTTACCTTTCCTTTGTTTTCTTCAAGTACTGATTCTTCTTCACGCTCCTGGAATGTTTTTATTTACTGATAATTTGGGCAAATTATAATAATTTTCCTAATTTTTTAGAGTAAATAATAAATAATAATTTGAAACTTGCTCTAACCTATTGCCTACTTACTTTAGCAAGGAGGCCACCTTGGTTTTCTTCAAATCCCTAAATAAAAACATAATAGAGTTAATTATTGATTTAATTTAGGTTAAATGTGTAAACAATTATAACTCATAAATGCATACCCTAGATAAATGGCGATTGGAATATTCAAAAAACTGAAAAAACATGTAAAATAAAATACATTTTACAATATTATATTTCATTTTATAATATTATAAACCTAAATAAGGATATGCTTACACTAATGGTACTGGAGGTGGGGTCACGGATTTTTACTTCTTTCTGCGATTGAATGTCAATTATTAAATTGTTATTAAATTTAATTATTTAGATAGATTCTTACTTCTTTACTGCAAGAGCGGTGTGGATCGTTCTGCAAAAATTAGAACGAATTTTATCCATGTATTGTTGTAAATGGTATATGGACAGTGTATGTGTAGGAACTGTTAATGCACTATTAAGTAATATTAAAGATTATATATTATTAAATAAATGTCTTGAAGGGCGCAAGAATGTTAAGAAGATGCAGACTTAAAAATAAAAACAATTGAAAACAAAGTGAGTTATCAATAAATAATTTTGAGCAATTTTTAGAGCAACTTGATAATAGATAATACGATAACTTTAAAATATGAACAATAAGATCTAAGCTAATTGAACTATGCGCACATTTTTAAGGAACCAGTAGCAAAATGAAAGTACGACATGCTGCGCGTACAAAATAGATAAAAGATGTAAAAATATTCTTATTTTTAGCAATAATTTCATTATGTAATATATTCAGTTTTTTTTTCTATTTCCCGTCTTGCCCCGTTTCATTACTGAAGTCATTCAAAGGAAGGATTATCGCTACAGGGAATAATACGAATATATTATAAACCTGTCGAGAAAATTTGTACAGATTGTCGATATGTTAAATAATTATTTTTATTTGTAACTTACGGAAGACATCATAAGGCTGTATTTTATCAGTAGTCATCCCCAAGAAACATAAATCTCATTGACCAAAGGAGGAGAAGCGAGGGCGCATCGGATGCCCCATCGGTCGACGGCGATCACTTATTACAAACAAGCATTGAATTTTGAATGTAAAAAATCGTTTTTCAGTATTAAATAGAAAAAAGTCGTACATATGTTTTGTTAAAATAAAAAACTTACTGATGGAGTGATTGTTTCATATTGTCTTTTTGGCTTGAAATAAAAGTATAAACCGACGGCGACAAGAAGAAATGTGTTGAAAAAGAGCAAGACCAGGGTCGTACATATGTAAGTCTGGCTATTGGTTTCGTCCCAGCTCAATTTCCCGGCTTTTTCGAAATAGGATTGATTTTTGATGCCTAAAATTGAGGACAGGTCGTCGTATTCCCTTCCGGGTACCAGAGCCCTTCTAACGCCTTCGAGATTGAACTTAGCCAAGGCTTCCCCGAGGCCCTTTTCAATCGCCAATTCGGTCCAAGCTCTGGCGAATTTTTTTCTGAGTACGTTTCCGTTTTCACATCTGAGAGAACTGCAGTAATCGAATACGAGGACTGCGACATCCGCGTCACTCAGGTCAAACTGAGGATTGTCGCAATCGAAAGAATCCATAAATATTATTTGATATTAAAAAATATTTGGCATGCTAACATAGTTAAATGCATAATTAATTATTACATATAAGCATCCTTTAAAGAACAAACAATAAACGGCAAAAAGAAACATCTAATTTATTATTTAATAAAACTATAATACTGCTCTCAAAAATAATCGTCAGTTTATCATCTGATTTATTTTACAGGCGCTACTAAACAAGACACAAAAATGTCGTACCCTGAAAGTTAGAAACAAACCATAAAATTTATAGATTTTTTCGTGAATAAATAGTTGCATTTAAAATTAAATCACATCAACTTTGTACTCATAGTTGAAAAAAAATTAAGTTCAATGTATGAAGGTCTTATTAAGTTTAAAAATAGGTCTTCGATAACGAGAGGACCTCCGGAATAAGGTTGCAATACGATTACAGTTCTTGGCAATGTTTGGACTGAGTCGGTTTTCAAGGAAATTTGAGATCGCCCGTAAAAACTTAAAAACTTAAATAAGTCAAACTGTAGATATATTTAAGTTGGTTTTGTAAGTTCAACATAGTTATATTGATTGTTAAATCATTTGTTCAAATATGTTTTTCGTGATGTGAAATTAATATAGACTGTGATGATGACCTTAAAATAGGTCGAAAGCATAGCAGTAGCAACTGAATTTGCTTTCTTCTTCGGGTCATACCCCATATCATCATATCAATCACCCAAATCATATCCAGAGCGTTCGTAAAAATAATTATACATTAGAACATCATAAATTGTCTATCTACATGTCATAAATTATTGGAAGGAAAACAGATCAAGTGTACATAATATAATATAGCTATAATTTTTTAATAACTTCTCACAAAATTGTGAAGAAAACTACATTCAATATTCTCTAGTTTCCGTGGTCCGCTTGATCAATTAATATATTTCAATTAATTGTCAGCTTTGCTCTATCCTGCGACGGACTTCGGTTACCTAAACTTACCTTAAGTCCGGGAAATGGCTAGCAGTTTCCAAAGCCCACGTACAGCGAAATCAGCAGAGTGCGCTGTGATGAAAGCGTGGGGGAATAAAAATAAAGAGAAGTAAAACGAAAAGCAAAAGTAAAACGAAACCTTCTTGATCAAAAATAAATTTATTACTTCAATGGTAAAATTATACAAACTAAAAATAAATAGGCCTCAAACTTTCTTGTGGCAATTAATAATTAATAATTGATAATTGTTACTTGAGCGAACGGAGGAGCTTAATCGGTGGAGACAAAAAGCACTTACAGTTTAACTAGTTAGAGAAGCTAGGATCAGTCTGCTGCAGAGATCAGGAGCCGAGTATTTATTAGCCCGAAATTTTATAAACCTTAATTAATTGAAATATATTCAATATATTATTTACTACTTTACATATGTTCAAGTTTGCACATGCACATACAAACCTACGCACATGAACCAATTTGAGCCTTTAACTTCTCGCAGACCATTGGCAATTCCAGCTTCGGAAATTTACCATCAGGGCTTTAGAAACACGTACCCTTGTGTTGGCTGTCTAAGGTCCGACCTTATCAAGTCTGTCGCGAAGGTTGGCTCTGGGGGTTACCAACAGCTAAGTCATTTCAACTCTGAACGCAATCTGTTCGTAACGTCGAAAAGTCACCCTCTCCCACACTCTTAAATAGATTGTTTCTTATTTACTTACTCAGTTGGGGTGATGGAATACTTTATACTTCTCCGTCACCCTTTACACCTATATATAACTAACCTAATTGAGTTTCTATCAATAATGCAAAAAATAGTTCAGCAGATAAACTTAGCGCATTTCTCTATAACAAACAGAAAAACGGGTCCACCTCTTTCGTTGATAAACGCGTGCAAAATATCATGAAAACAATGAAATAAGAGAAACGACAAATTCCAATAGTGGTACAGCCAGGGAATAGAATAGATGAAATCTACATGATAACCAACAGTCGAATAACAGACACGCACTCCTAGGCGGTTGTAGCGATCTGTTAGCATTATAGAAGAGACCTTGTGGAATTCCAACAAGTATAGAATACGACACAATGTACAAAAAAAAGGCATACCTGAAAACATAAAAATATATAAACATAAGACATTCAGCAATAAAATCTCTTAAATACACTTAACAATATAACTCACGAACATTTACGGCATTTATAACATTTTATAAATTTAATGTAGAGTTCAATATCTTTTAAGGTCTTTACTAGGTGAAAGAAGGACAAAAGTATTGCAATCACCAAGCTTTCGGCAACATTATGTTGCCATCATCAGGGCCTATTTATTAAGAAAATATACATAAATAATATACATTTTTACAATCAACAATCAAAACATCAGTGCATGCTTTCCCAAGAAAGAAGAGAAAAATTTTCTCATCGGAAAAAACTAATGCAATGGTTTAGGTTATGAAGCACATGGCCAGCATTCGGTTATATATGGTGAACAAGCCATATATGTAAAGTAAAATTAATGAGTAATTATGACATCAATGATTGATAAAAAATAATAACTTAATATTATAATAACATTTTTTTATATAAAATAAATTAGTCCGAAGTCTAAAAACACCAACTAGAACACTAAAATAACAATAATAACAACTCATAAACATCACTCACACAAAAATCATCCAAACACTGTTGTTGACGCCCAAGAAGCTTAATTTTATTTCGTTGTTTTCGGCTGGCCAAGGTTCGCCTCAGGAGGCCCTGCTTAAATCGCTGAGGGCCCTATTGTTTATATTTTGGCAAGCGATAACGTCGGTAGCTTCGGTCTTTGCATTAGCGCTCGCTTGCTTTGGTCAGCACAAGACGCACCGCCTACACAATCGATTATCCATGAACGTAAAATCGATTTGGATCGATATTTACGATCGGTTTCGTCATCGTCCCAGTGTCGTCACATCACCGACTTCACAGGCTATGACGTCAACTGTATTGTCATCCGGCTCTACAGGCCTTTCTGTTGGCGTCTAATCCAGGAGTAACCTCCAGCTCAATACCGCTTATTTTGATTGCTTGGAGAAGTGAGTCGTCATCCAGCCAAATACCTTTTCATCGTCTTTTATTTTATTTTATTTATTTCTTTCTTTTTTTTTTTTTTTTTTTGTAAAAACCTGGCCAGCAAGGTTGTTCTAGGAATTTGAATATAATTGAGGAAGTTTCATTGAATTTTTCTTGTGTAAATAAATTGTAAATATTTAATTTTGACTTGGAAATATTATCAATCCCCCCTTTTTTTCCCAATGACCTATTAAGTATATATATACAGTAGTTGCCACCTATTACAAACAAAATTTAATTGTATACCCCTTGAAACGGGGGTTTGCGGGTCAATTAAGAACCGCTCCTCTCCCGAACAACAGAAGTTGGCCAAATGCTGAAACGATCTGAACCAACAAGAATCAGCAAGGATAGGCAGACCAAGATAATAGGCAACTATGAAACAATAGGTTTACCCCTCGGAACAGCAGGGGAAATCTCACAATCCACTGTTAGTTAAGGAAACCCTTTTGGTCTTCAACACTCCTCCTGTTTTACCTGGATGTCTGTTAACTAACTGAATATAATAATTATAAGTAACACTTATGATAGGTTGATTAACTGATTTATGATTTTTTATCAAATAGATAAAACTATATAATTCATCCTGATTTTTCCTTCTCGAAGGTGGGATAATAGGTCCTAAAAAAATAAATAAAAAAAAATAAATAAATAAAAATAAATAAAAAAATAAAAAATTAGACCCACTTGGTTATCATTGTTTCTTTACTACTTACAGTGGTTAAAACAGTGGTCGTGAGTCGTTAATAATTTGTACGACTGACGACCACCGTTTTAACTATGTAAGTAGTAAAGAGACGATGATAGTCTCAAAATGTAATAAATCTTTGTTTTGTGTATATGCGTTAACTGACCTGAGGAAGGATTAAAATAAATCCGAAACGTGTGGATTGAAAAAAGCTGGTTGTTGATTTTTTGAGATGACTTATTATCCCACCTTCGAGAAAGAAAAATCAGAAATTAAACTGTTGTGGTCGAAATAAAAAAAAATCATTAATCCGTTTTTCCATCATAGATAGTCATTATTTTATATGATGTCGGAATATGGTTAAGTTTAAAAGCAATTAACGAATGTTTATATGTGTATTGCACAGAAAAGAAACCGTATACCTACAATATAAAAAAATGTATTCAAGCAAAGGCTGAAAATCAATGAAGTGAGTTATGGAATTATTTTCTTTTAAAAATCCGAGCAGGGCGGAATATTATAAATGCCTTGCTCTCAGTTTTAAGATTTATTCAAATAGTAATCCGAGTTTTTTTTCCGGTTTGCCGCCCCCAGGGTTGTTCTCTCCGTTGCGACAATACAGGGCCCATGAAATCCGCGCGGGTCGGTCGGTAAAAGGAAAAAGAAGAAAAAGGCCTTTCCCTGCATTAAAATGTCGATATAATTCTTAGTCGTTGGCTCAGTGCATCGTGGGAACCCGACAACCTGGCCCTGCCTGCTCGCATATGCGGAAATGCTAAGCCCTCCGGGGCGTTGTTGAGAAGGGATTGCCCTGAAAATGTTTCCCCGCCAACTTGGTTTCCAAAACTTTAAGAACTAAGCTGCATCAACTCTTCAGCTAAGAGGATATTAATTACTCTATGAAATATTTAAGCTTAGACATTAAATTGTGCCGCAGATTCACTGACCTGTGATTTCTGATGATCTAACTTGCAAACCAGCTTACAAAATCGCTTAAATTTCAGCATACATTCATATTTATCTATTAGATAGTAAATAGCATGAACTAAGAACATTCATTACTTACTTTATTTATAAATCATCTTTTTTGTTCTTTAACACGCCAAGCTTTCTTTCAAGTAAGTCGGTTAATTGCTTAGCCAAGTCTTTACAACTCAGCCAGGGAACTTCTGATCATAATTCGCCATTTTTGCGAACTAAACAACCAACAAAATTGTTAGATATAGACTTTTTTTATTATAAAGAAAAAACTGTCTTCTTTTTAAGGAAAAACGTCTTTTTCCTTAAAGCTGAACTTCGCTTCTCAAACAAAA